AGTTCTCTGAGTATAGATTGAGACTGTACAGTTTTGATGATCAGGTGGGATCCCTCTAGTTGGCTGTTGAGACTGCACCTCTTTTGACCCCATGTGGAAAGTGAAAATCAGACACTTTCAGACTCTTTTTTGTGCATTGGACACTATCAAGAGTGCCCAATTAATAACTTGGATGGTCTTAGGAGTCCGAGTGTCCAAGTGATGCCTGGTACACCTGCATTAAAGCATCCATTAGGGGGTTTCAAAATTGAAACCCCAGGTTCCAGGACCTCGCGCAGGTCCAAAAACCCAGGAAAAAGAAACAGCGCGAAAAACTTTTTCCTGGGAGTTCTAGTTTGAAGCCCCCCAAAGGGGAAACCTCCTGTCATGATTCCCAGAAGGCCATCGCCTGGAAGTATTGAGACTTTTTTCCATGGGGACCGGGGTCCCGAAAGGCTTAATTCCCCAGTCGGGCCCTCCTTGGGTAACCAACCACAAGTCGCCCCTGGGATCGTTTGGTGTCAACGCTTTCCTTCCGACTGGACACTGCCATCTGATAAACGACATATCAACCTCAAACCTCTACCCCCAATGGTCCGACAACCATCTTGGAGCGGTGACGGCGTCGACGGTGGGCCTAGTAGCATCACAGTCCTCCTCAATTGGCTCGCTACCAACAACAATTACGTTCGATGGCGCCAAGGTGAATCGAAGAGGGACCTCAGTTCCGAAATACTCATGGAGATGAGGCGCAATGGCATCCAGCATCGCGATTACCATGGTTCGCTTGAATCTCATTTAACTCTAGATCCCCTTTGCCCTCCTGACTTTTCGATCTCTAGGTATACTCTTGCAGATGACATTACTCCAGAGGTCTCACGACCAGGCATCAAAATGGGAAAGTACGACGGGTTCGGCCGTCACAGCCGTCGGGGTTGACGGGAGCACGGTGATAGTACAAAGTAAGCAAAAGGGCTTCTTTCTGCCATGAACCACCTAGCTATTAATCAAATATTTGCAGGGCATCTGCTCCGGATTTGCAGATACTGGGACGAGTTTGGACCCATCATGCGTCCAGCCGGGGACGACCATTAGATGACTCAAACAAATGTTTTTATTGTCAGATTACATGATGAAGCCTCCGATCAAATGCCAACTATAGTCATGTGATCACTATCAAATTAAACAAATGATTACTTATTAGTTTTCCATTACGGCTGCCCCATTGCCTGTGCCTGCACCAACCCGGTGCTTTACTTAGTGCCTTTAACTGTAGTACATGAGTGATTCAGCGATTTGGGCCCGAACTGATGATCATGAGACAGGCGTAGGCTGAAAACTGTATCATCGTGTGTATAAGTGAATGGTGCAGGGGAAAATACAACAGAAGCCCTCGGCTTGTGAGTCAATTAGCTGGAAGCAAACTCCACTGGGAGCTATGCCTATCTCTCTATAACCCTGCCTGGAAGCCATGGTCCGCACCTCACGTCGGAGACTCTTGATCACATCACTGGAGAAGTCGATTAAAGACGACCTCACATTAATGGCCCTCAATTATCTGTTTGGCGGTGATGAAAACGATACATCCGGTTCGGATATGGATACCGATTACGAGGATGATAAATGGGAAGATGAAGAGATGATCTACACAGACCTGGAATGTAAGGCTCGAGCCCTGCTCAAAATCCAAGGCGATCGATATCTAGCGCCTCGGGGACGGATAGAGAAAGCCCCTGAGATGCATCAATTTATCTTACACAGGATGCAAGAAAGTTGATTCAAGCAGTTTTTTTGTATGACTCGGGCATCTTTCATGAAGCTATGCAGCCAGGTTGAAAGTAACCCAGTTTTCCATAACAACTCAAATCATCCTCAGCGGCCTGTAATCGAACAAATGATGGTGGCTCTTAACCGACTCGGATGCTTTGGGAATGGGGTTGCAGTAGGGATGATTGCGACATGTTATCGAATTGGCCATGGCACCGTCGAGGTATACACGAATCGTTGCATCATGGCTATATTATCGCTCAAAACCACGCTGCTCGAATGGCCTACCGCCGCCGCCCGACAAGAGACCAAGGCGCATTATGGAGAAGTAGGGTTTAAAGGGTGTGTTGGACTGATTGACGGTAGTCTGGTTGTATTATCGACCTGCCCCGAGAAGGACGGCCAGGATTACTATAGTCGGAAGGGGTTTTATTGCATTGCCACCCTACTGGTTTGCGACCAACACAAAAATATCACCTATGTGTTCACGGGTTGGCCTGGCTGTTCTCACGATATGCGACTTATGACGAACTGTGCGCTATCCAAATCCCCAAACCAATACTTCTCAGACGGAGAATACCTTTTGGCCGACTCGGCCTTTGTACCCACTCTCACAACAGTGCCGGCTTACAAGCGGAAGAGAAACAAGCAGCTAACAGATGAGCAAACGGATTTCAACCGTCACCTTTCTGGTGTTCGGGTAGCCATAGAGAACTGCATTGGGTTATTGAAAAATTGATTCCAAAGCCTCAGAGGCTTGCGGTTGCGAGTGTCAAGCAAACACGACATGCAAAGGGTTACATCTTGGATAATGGTAAGTTGTCAGATATTGGCTGGATTGCAAACTATTGAGCTAACATGATGATTCTCAGGCATGCTGCATTCTACACAACTTTCTTAATCAAGGACAAGATTATGATTTTGAAGACTTCGAGCTTGAAGAGGAACTC